CTGCTCGCCAGTGCGGCAGAAGACGTCTGGGAGCAATTGCACCCTGAACCCGTTGTCGTAGTCGCCTCGGCGCGGTGTAACTACGTATGTGCTAGAGAAGCGCGGAAAAACCTGCGCTGGGAGCGGTTGAAGAGACATCGACCCCATTAGCTCACGACTCCAGGACGTCTACGGGGTGAGTGCAGCACAACTGCACACAACGGAGGTATCCGAGGAACGAGAACAGCCTGTTGCGTACAGGTGGCATTCCGAAACGAAAGGCCGAACAGCGACCAGGGGAAACCCTGGCCTGACCTCCTCCCTTCCTCCCCCTTCTAATCTTCGTCCTCCCCCACGGTACTCCTGCTCTTCCTCCACTTCCCTCTGGGCCGCTTCCTTCTCACGGCCTTCGCCAGGTCGTTCGCATGAGGAGGTAGAGGAAGAGAAGGAGGGGGAGGAGGAGGAGGAGGAGGAGGCGGAGGAGGAGGAGGAGGAGGGAGGGGAGGAGGAGGAGGAGGAGGATAAGGAGGGAAGGAAGAGGAGGAGGAGGAGGAGAAGGAGGAGGAGAAGGAGGAGGAGGAGGAGAATGAGCAAGCGAATGAGGGGGGAGAGTCTCCCCTTCCTCATCCTCCTGCTCATACTCTGCCTCCTCGCCACCCCGCTCCTCCTACACCTCGCCATCCTGCCTCTTCCACCTGTCGCCCGTCCTCCCCCTCCGGCCGAGGGGGAGGAGGCAGAGGGAGGAGGAGGAGGAGGAGGAGGGGGGGCAAGCTAGGTGCCCTCGCGTCATATTTGACGTCCTACCCCCCCGTCCCATCCCATACCATGGCGTAGATATCCTCTCTATTCGCACAGTCGGATGTCGTAGCAAGGCATAGCATTACACGACATAGCATGGTGTTGAACATCGACGCGTAGCCTGACATAGCATGGCGTGGCGAGGCGACGCCCCCAGGTGGGGGGACTTCTTCGACCCCCAAAATCAACTAATCGACACCGAATGTGTAAACACTTCCGATGGTTGTTTCGGGGGGGCAATCTGTAGACTTTGGGGCCGATTTGGAAGGACCCAAAACCATGCCGTGGCATGGCGCTGGAAATAATGACGCCAGCGCTGCAGCGGGAGCGCGATTCGGAACAAGCGGAAGTGCGGAACGATTCGGAGGACGCGTAGCCTGACATAGCATGGCGTGGCGACGCCCCAAACTCGGGGGGGTTCTGCGACCCCAGAATTCCACGAATCGACACCGAATGTGTGAACACTTCCAATGTTTTTTTTCGTGGTAGCATTTTCTAAATTTTGGGGCCGATTTGGAAGGACCGAGAAACATGCCATGGCATGGCGCTGGAGATAACTACGCCAACGCTGCAGCGGGAGCGAATTCGGAACGAGCGGAAGCGCGGAAATGAAGCCAGCTCTGCAGCGGGAACACGATTCGGAACGGGCGGTAACCCGACAATGAAGCCATCGCTTCAGCGAGAGGAGCATTTTAAAAAGAACCAGCGAAAACCCAACTCCCGGGAATCCTGTGTACAAAAACCAATCTACGGAGGGGGGCCGAATATTTCCGGGACGTCACCAGGGGAGAGAGGAGAGTAGTATTCATGTTGTGTAATTATGGAGGAGGGAGGAGGAGGAGGAGGAGGAGGAGGAGAGGAGGAGGAGGAGGAGGAGGAGGAGGAGGAGGAGGAGGAGGAGGAGGAGGAGGAGGAGGAGGAGGAGGAGGAGGAGGTGGAGGAGGAGGAGCAGGAGGAGGAGGAGGAGGAAAAGGAGGAGAAGAAGGAGGAGGATGGGGGCGCCACCCAGGAGGGGGGGCGGGGCGGAGGAACCGGAGGACCGGGGAGGGGAGGGAGGAGGGAGGGCATGGACGCCCCCCCTCCTCCCCTCCGAGACGCAGGCAAGCCTCGCCAGCAGAGCTCTGAGGGGAGGCTCCCCGCAGATCGAAGCTGCACGCGCGCGCGGGGAGAGAAGTCGGGGGAGGCGTGTGCTTCCTCGCCCGGCCGGACAGGGCAGAACGGGGGGAGAAGAAACACGGAGCGGGAGCGAGGCAGCGCACACAGAGGGGAAGGGAAGGGAGCGAAGTTGTAGTAGAGAGGAAATGGGCGTGGGGAGGAAAAACGAAGAAAGGGAGTCGAGGAGTGGAGCGGGGGAAGGAGTGGAGGAAATGAGGGAGTAGGAGATGGAGGGATCGAGCGGATCAGTAAAGGAAGGGGGCGAGGAGGGGAGAACGGCGTGCATGTTATCCCTGATTATCCCCCTCTCCTCCTCTTCATGTCCTCCCCATCATCCCCATCCGCTCTACCCTCCCCTTTTATCGAATATATCCCATTCCCTGAGCCACCACCCAATTTGATTATGCAGGGTGGCGCATGCACCGCCGATCGCATGTTGGCTGTCATGTACTGTTCCTCGTCCCGCTTTCCTACCTTCCCTCCTCTCTCCTACGTACCCATATTCCCTCATGCTTCACTCCAGCTCCCTCGTCATCATCATGCTCATCCATCCTGCTTCCTCCGTACCCCATCATTGCTCAAATCCCACCAGCCCTTTAGGGCGTAGGTGATCTAGAGCGTTCCCTCTGCCAACCCCCTTCTTTCCCTTCGGGGAGGGGTTTATCCTTGTTCCTTACTACTATATACCCCCACCTACCTCGTATTCCGGCCGATAGCGACCCAATCCGGGACCCCCCATCCGGACTGTAAAAAAAAAAGTTGCTGTTTTTCTTCTCAACATCGTCTTTCTTGTCGTCGACGATGCGAAAAGCATGACAGGAATGGGACGCGGCGCACATCGCGCGCGGCAGTGAATCTGGGGACGCCCACCCTGACTGTAAACAATCAATACAAAGTCTTCGTTTTTTCCTCTCAGCATGGCCTGCCTTGTCGCCGACAGTGCGAAATATGTGGCACGAATGGGACGCGGCGCGCATCGCGCGCGGACGTCCATGCGGGCTGCGGGCCCTCCCATCCTGACTAGTGCTACGAGTACCATTGGTACGACTACTACTACTACTACTACTACTACTACTACTACTACTACTACTACTACTAGTACTAGTACTAGTACTAGTACTAGTACTAGTACTAGTACTAGTACTAGTACTAGTACTAGTATTAGTACTAGTACTAGTACTAGTACTATACTACTACTACTACTAGTACTACTACTACTACTACTACTACTACTACTACTACTACTACTACTACTACTACTACTATTACTACCACGACTACTACTACTACGACTACTCCTGCTACTACTTGTTCTGCAACTTGTACTACCAATGGCATTGCTACTAGTCTAGCACTAGTACGCGTATTACTAGTACCTCTACTTCCATAGTGCTACTGCTCTGTACTACTACTCGTACGAGTACTTGTACTACCTGTAGTACTTCTGCTTATCCGATGTGCATGATTACTCGAACTACTAGTACGACTCCATATTCGTATCCCCACTCTACTACTACTACTACTACTACTACTACTACTACTACTACTACTACTACTGCTACAACTACTACGACAACGACAACTACTACTACTACTACTACTACTACTACTACTAATGCTGCTACTACTACTACTACTACTATCACTACTACTACTACGACTACTACTACTACTACTACTACTACTACTACTACTACGATTACGACTACGACTACTACTACTACTACTACTACTACTACTACTACTACTACTAGTACTACTACTACGACTACGACTACGACTACTACTACTACTACTACTAC